CGCTTAACCAACTGAGCCACCCAGGCACCCTAAATTTCCTTCTGAGTACGCAAATACATGATCCATGTCTTGGTACCCTTGCAGCAGTCTGGCTTCTGGCCAAGCCCACCCTTCAGCTCTCTCCCTCAAACTCACACACCTGTGTGGGAGTTGCCCATTCTTCCAACATTTACTATGTATTTTCCGTGGACTAGGCCCAGCACTAGGGACTCAGAGTAAGGAAAAATGGTCTCTGCCCTCAAGGAACTTTCAGGTTAGAAGAGAGAGACACACAGAAACACACAGAAACAAACCAAACTTTTCCTGTGCAGCCTCACGTTTCCATGATCCCTGCCACCAATTCTACCCTCTGCCTGAACTGAGCATTCCTGGGCTACAGACTGCCACTGTGTCCTGACAGCTCTAGTAGAATACCTGGAAGACTTCACTGCACTGATTTGTTTAGAACAGTTTCTCAACCCCATCAGACCCAACTTCCCCCTTTAGAACATATTTCGTAAAGTTCCCCTTATTATTCCAAAAAAATTCATAGATGATATTTTTGTACATATAAATAAAAATACAAAGGAAAAATAGACATTTACCATAATAAAATATTACTTAATATGTTTAATATGTTCATATCCAACCATATCAGAAGACATAATGAAGTACTCAAATAACTGTACCTATTATACTAAGTTTGGATTTAAGAAAATTTATATCAGAAGTCATTCTACATAGAAAACAAAAGATCAGATATACAGAAATAGAAAAATTAGTGTTTTATGAGAAATAAGACTATAATATTTATGATAAGGAGGAAATAATGGAGTATGGATAACCTACTGAGACAAAGTATAGGCTGTTGAAATGGTGAAAATTAGAAGGTGCAATATTTCTACAAATGAAATGGCCTTATTAAAAACGTCATGTCAAAATCATTCCCTACCTTATAATATGGGAAGGTGTAAGATTAAATCCTACTCTGTAATTGCACCATAATTCAGACTACATTTAGTATATACATTTACTTAAAAAGACTTCAGTGATCATACTATCAAAAGGCGATGAGGAACACAGGATAGACTGGGCCAAAACAAGAATATGAGAAACTATAAAGATATGTGGTTGATCTCTGTGGATCAATTCTGGATTGTGGATAGATCTCTGGGGATAGATTCTGAATAAGAATAAACATAAGGCATCTAAAAATATAATCAGAATTTTAAACAGATTTTTAATATTAAAATTTTAATAGTCACATAATTTATCACTATACAGAAATATAATTTTTAGAATTTAGTGCGGCAATAATAGGAAGTATTTTAAAATCATTTCTTGGGCGCCTGGGTGGCTCAGTTAAGCATGTGACTCTTGATTTCAGCTCAGGTCATGATCTCAGGGTTGTGAGATTGAGCCCCAATCCAGCGTGGAGCCCGCTTAAGATTTTCTCTCTCTCCCTCTCCCTCTGCCCCCCCGCCCCTGCTTGCACCCCCACGTACATGCTCTCTAAAAAAAAAATGAAGGAAAAAATCATTTCTATTAATTAAAAAAAAATGAGATTCCTACATTTTGTTTCCATTAACTTAGTAACATTTAGTTCTAATCCTATTTAAAAGGACTCTCAAATCTTCTATAACATATTTTCCATCAGCTTTTTTGCTTTTGTAATAACCACATACTGTACCAAAATCATTTTCAGTTAAAAATGCTGTTTGAAATGCTAAGTAATTCACTGTCCTTTGAAAAAAAGGAGTATGAAAGTTGTAACTGAACCTAAACCATTTCATAGACTGATAAAATGTAGCACTGGTTGCAAAGATCGTTTGTTTAGTTAGTTTCTTTTTAAAAGTTTTATTTACCTTTCCTGCACATGTTGACTAACAGAGAAGGAATATTTGAAGAAATATGATGATGTAAGTCAGAATGTGGTTACCTCTGATGGCCGGGGAGTACTAACCAGAAAGGAAGGTAAGGAAACTGCTTTGGGTACTGGAAATATTACACAGTACAGACTGTCCCTAAAGTCAGGAAGCAGGATAAATATGTGTTAGTTACATTTTCAGATAATATACTCAATATCTTTTTCTTTAAACTCAAATTACCTTTTCAGGTAAAATATTTATAAATTTAAGGCAATGGTTCCAATTGTTAATACATAATAAATACACTATTTTCCTTGTTTCTAGACTTTTTGGATACTTTCAGTTGTACTTATTGTATACATGAAAACATAATGGGCACATTATTTGAAAATATAACATACTGTTTACCAATAAGTTTGTCCTATGTTTCCCAACCATGCAGACACTCAGCATATCTAGATCAAGGTGGCAGTTACATGTGTTTATGAGTATGCTTGTATATGAATTCATCAAGCTATGCACTGTATGTTATACCTCAATTTATACACACATCCACACAATAATGAACAGAATCTTTTTTAACATCTACTCTAGAAAGTTATCTTACTTTCATTTATAGGGTATGCTAATTTATATTCTTCATTATTACTGCATGATTTACAAAATAATCTATCATCCACGGGATTCTTAATTTTTGTATAAACACATGCTATTTTGAAAAAAAAAACTGTCTATAAACCCATATTTATGGACAACAATAGCTGTTATCTGTTGCACAAGCAATGACTATGTAAAAGTGCCAAGAGTAGTTTATGTGTAAAATGGAGTTAGGTCCCAGGTTTGGATAATTATAAACAGATTTTTACACATGAATTTCTGGTGGAATATTCTAAAGTTGTGTTGGACATATAAGACGTTTAGTATTCCTGGCTCCTGACTACAAAATGTCAGCTGTACCCTCTCCATTCCTGTGGTAACCAAAAATTTCCCTCACTTTTTCAAAAGTGCCACTAGGGGGCAGTACTGTCTCCAGTGAGAACCATGGTGTTCTTATCTGTTAGCACTTCTTGGGAACAAGAACCTCATTCTCTTAACCTTGGACTCCCTAGTGTCGAACACAGCGCCTGACACGTAAAGCAGGTGCTCAATATGTATGACGAAACAAGGCTATGACAAGAGTGTGCTGTGGAGGCACAAAGAAGGGTGAGGTCAATCCAACAGGGGAATTGAAAGAAGAGTAGAAGCTTCACAGGTATCATGAAAGTCTCCATAGAAGAGGATCTGCACTGGATGGCTGGGGTGAGTGGGAATAGGAGGTTGGTGGCAGAGGATGTGCTATACCAAAACAAGGGAATAAATCAAGAAAGAAGAAAACACAGGAACCAGGAAACATGATTCAAAACAGAAGTACAGGAAATTCCTAGGATGATGAGGAAAGGAACAGATGGGACAAAAGCTTTGCAGAGGCCTAGACAGCAACCAGTCCAGATTAGAACAGGAAGACAAAAGGCTCCCAGGGGAATATCTCCAAGAAAAAGGAAAAGGTTTTAAAATGGATTTGATGGATAACCTTAAGTGTTCACCATATTGAGAGTAATTTTACAGTTCTATAGAAGAGTTTGGGAAAGAATTAGTGATAGACACAACAGCAAACTAAACAAACAGAAAAATAAAGCAATTATCATTCCGAAGGATGAGAAGCTGTTCAAGAAAAATATACTCATAGTAATGATTACCTGACTCATAATGAAGAACATTTATATAGTCATAACAATATAAATACTAAATACTACCGATTTTTTGACAAAAATGAGAGATTAAAAGTGAAGCTGGTGAATGCAGTTTATTCTTTGAGAAACTTGACTATGAAAAGAAAACAGGAGTACAGAGATGAGAAACACAATGGCATGACATCTGTCTCTACTTAATCCCGACAGCCCACTCCTACGGTAGTATTGGGTGGCATCCATTGCCAATCAATCTTGTGTAATAACCATTAACAACCCTGTGAAGCAAGCAGGTTTCATCAGCCTCCTTTAACAGATAAGAAAACAAAAGCTGTGAGAACTGAGAACTGATCTAGAATAGAATTAGAACCCACATTTCCTAGAATTCAAAGCATACACTGTTTTATATTCTATATGTAACTTTCTAAAATACCCCTTTGTCCAGAATTATACTATACTCATAAGAATATAAATTAACAAATGGTCAAAAGTTAGCTCCAACATAATAAAAATCTCTTGAAATAAAAAGAAATTATGTCTGGTAAAAAAACTGTGAAAATAGAACAATTCTAGAGTTAACTCTGTTTTAACTATTAACATTACAGTATCCTTTTTTTTTTTTTTTAAGATAAGTGAATTAAATTCCTT